TCCCTATCCAACTTTACTACTCTATTCTCCCTATCCAACTTTACTACTCTATTCTCCCTATCCAACTTTACTCCTCTATTCTCCCTATCCAACTTTACTACTCTATTCTCACTATCCAACCATACTTCTCTATTCTCCCTATCCAACTTTACTCCTCTGTTCTCCCTATCCAACCTTACTCCTCTATTCTCCCTATCCAACTTTACTCCTTTATTCTCCCTATGTCCAAAAATCGTATACTAGGAATATACCTATAACTGTTAAGTCACCTAGAATAGAAATGAGTAAAATTGCTTAGGTCAAATGTTCCATGCGCTAAATTTATCTCACTTTCGATTGACTGCTAAACTACAAAGTGACCGGATACCACCTAATAGTTTAATTTCACTTTTACAAACTATTTCTGATGATTTACCAAAGACCAACATTATAACTAACGTACTCCAGTGTACATTTGTACTGTGAAATGTGTATTACGTACACAATAAACTCAACAATGTAGATGTAAAACAAGTAGATACAGAGGTACGTAAAAACATTAAAAATTCTCTGATTTGAATACTAGCCTTAAAGAACTGTATTCGGAGTAGGGCGGTTCCAGGATTTAAACCAGGGGGGGGTACAGATTTTACCTCCCCCTCCTGTAAAGATTTTACCTCCTCTTCCATCCCCCGACGAGGTGGGAGTGCAGAAGTCCTCAATTAGTAATCACTGCCACCCAAATGTATTTAGCAACATGCGCGCTCCTCAATTGGTAATCTCCACCAAATCAATTGGTAATCAGACAAAAAAAAGCGTAACATTAAAAATCGTTTATTTCTTAGAAATAAGACCATATTGACCTCTGTTAATGGCCCTACGGTGTACAATATTGTTAAAGCTTTCTTTGCTCCTCAGTTTCGAAAAAAATCTTTAAATATGCCACATGAAGCACTATGAAATAAAATTATGTTTTTTTAACCTAAAGCGCGTGCGCCCTCCTCAATTAGCAATGAAGCGCAAGAAATAATTAGTAAACAATACTTTATTTTCACTGGTGGGCATGATGAGACTGATCTTTCTAAATTGTGTGTTCTTTCTATGGATATAATTAGTTTTTCTGAAAATGTTGAACTCGAGTAGGCGAAAACAAAAATCTAAACACTCTGAAGGTTTTTTGAAAATATCTTTTAAATGGAAATAGATATTACTTTGGTAGGAGTGAGGTGGTAGGAGTGAGATAGTTTTTAGTAAACAGGCAGCCCGACCTTTTAGTATCTTAACTCCAATCATGAAATGCAGTCATTTAATCAGCGAATTGGATCTAAGATTCGACTAAAATAAACTATGCCTTTTTTCTTAGTTTTGTTGACCTAACCAATCTAAAAAAACAAATTGAAAATTTAGTTTAAGCCAATACAGATGCCATGAAACCCCGATAGATGCCGAAAATTGTGTTAAAATGCATTAAATTAAAATATCAGAAAACAAGATTTTACGATGATTACAAATTGAGGTGGTGCAGATTACCAATTGAGGAGTGCGCATGCTGCAAAACACGTTCGGGTGGAGGTGATTACTGATTGAGGACTTCTGCACTCCCCCCCCTCCCCGAGTTGGATAAAATCAAGGAGCATGGAATATTAAGGGAGATGGAATCGACCCGGCCAATCCTACCATATGATATACATGCTTTGTAAGTTTGTAGACAGTACTTCATTAGAATAAGAAATATTTGTCTAATGTACAAAATTAGGGTTTCCAGCGAAAAGGAAAAATCGTTTCTCGAAAGTTTCGCTTCATTTTCGCGTTTCGTTCACTCGCTAAACATACGAAAATTTGGCTTCTGCAATCTGTTTCGCGAAAAAATGCTATAATTTCGCAAAAAAATAATGCAAAAATTTCGCGAAAAAATAATGCGAACATTTCACGAAAAAAAATTTTTGGAGACAAATTTTTGAAATTTTGATCATTCATATAACTGGGGTCACGATAAAAAAGGTGAGCCCGATCAGTTCAGCAGTTTCAACGTTTATAGAATACAAGCAACCAACCCAACAGACAGACAAGCAAAGTATATATATATATATATATAGATACTATAGTTTACAACTGAATTTTATTATTTATGTATGTTTGTGTATGGTTCAAAAAAGATATGTTTAAGTACCAGAATACAAAAAATAACGAAAAATAACGTCTAGGTTTTGATTAATTATAGTCCTGTAAATGTTGACAAATAATGTGAAAGAGAAATAAAAAGGTTTGATATGACAGAAATAATAATTAACAAAATGTGTTTAAGTTAAAGTTTAAGCTCTTTCCAAAATTCAAAATTTTCCAACTGGAAATTTCCATAAGGAGGGGCACCTTCTAGATGCAGGAATTCCCTGAAAAGGGACAATTTCCAAAATTTCAATTTTCGTCAAAAGTGGCAACTTAAACTTAAACTTAAAATTTGAATTTTCCAGATTGTAACTTTCCAAATAATAATTTACTCCGATTGTTTACAATAGGGACTCATGCATTACATGAAGAGAGCGAACAATGTTTAAAGACAGAAATCTGAAAATACTATTAGTGTACACACTTTTTCTAATAGACAAACATCACTTGTCTACTCCAAGTTATCTCCGGTACAGAGTACTACTCATACTACTGATAATACTGCATGATGATTTAAAACGCTCCGGGATGTTTAACCAGAAACGTCATGGTCATGCAGTTCTTTGGTATTTCACGCCGAATTCAGTAAGAAGCAAAAAACATGAACTTCGTAGATAATTACTGAAACCAGTTTGATCTAAACTTCAGTCAGCCTTTGGGATTGTTTATAGCATTTTACAAAGATACCTACTTTTCCAGTATTTTATACACATATTTACATAAATTTCACTAATAGTAGATAATTTATTTGGTGTACATATGCTATCGCTAATTAAAATTCGCCCTGAACTTGGAAAAATCCGGAGTTTAAGTGAATGAAAGACACTTCAGTTCAAATGAGTTTTTATCTTTTGAAATAAACCGAATCCCCCTGCATTTGTGCATACAAGCAAGACACTTGCTAGTATGTGAAGGACAAATATGATAAAAGATAATGACACCTATTGCATTATTACCAAAATTGTGTTTGTTTCTAATATCTTAAAATGCATACTTGTTTTAAAATTTTAAAAAGCGATCTTTTTCAAAAATTATTGTATTAAAACAAACACCGCCTGGTTTCAATATGTACGCAACAGCATATAACTTTCCTTGTCTTATTGCCTTGGTTTAACCTATCTATCGTGTGAACCATACTGAGACAGTAACCACGTAACCAGTAACCACGTCCTGAATAATAAATCTAAATAATTGATTAAACCTTTGAAATCTGGTTTTCTTCAGCAGTTAGTATATGCATTCAGCTATTATAACGGGCCCACAGAAATTCAGGAAGCTCTTAAAATTGCGTCATTGTTAAATACCCGGTCAACTTTAAAGTGTCTTAACGTCTTGACCTTAGATTTTACTTCACTTGCCTCATTTACACTTTACACTTTAAAGTACGACAAAGAATTTGTTTTAAGCTTCAGTTTTATTACGTAATTAGCAAAATTATTAAAGAGTTTTGTTTGAAAGCGTGCAAGTGCAACGTTTGGATTTCTGTGTCCCTCTTAGTTTCATTACAAGTTAAAAACAGGTTTTATTGTTTTTGTTTTCGATGTCTTCATATTACAGAATTCCTTACTGCTTTTATAATCAATAACTTTGCAGTTTAAAATAAAAAAAAACAGCTATTAAACAAACAAATAGTTTAAACCTGGTGTACATATTTTTTTTTTTGATTTTCATGTCCTGTAGAACAGAGTAATTGATTTTTGAGAGAAATTCTGAAAGCGCATACGTTTTTTTAATTCATCTATTTTCTCTTAATTTTTTTAATTATCCACCGTTTAATTTCACACAAAAATAAAATAGATATGGTATATATATAAAGTAATGATTAAAATACTTAAAATAATAGAAAATATATTTTTCTCATCCCGTTATTCTGCTCCCCATGCTGTTGCAATACATCTCTTTATTTCATTGCTCATGCTGTATAGAAATCAATCTTTCCCTTAATTTTCTTTCTGATATTATTTTACTCAATTCCATTGTTTGGCCTTTCTTATGCATATGCAATAAATCTCAAAAGAAAAGTAAAAAGCTTATTTTTTTAAATGTGGAGTCAAAAATGAAAAAAATAAATCTCTTTTAAATTGTTATTCTTGTTTCAGGCGAATGTTTACCGGCTCCTTGAAGAATATGAACATACAGGAACTGAACTTAATTCGGATTAAAAATAGTTTGAATTGATTTCTAACTCTGATTGTTTTACAACTTTGTAACCTTATGTAGTAGAACTTTATAATTATACTATGAATTTTTAAAAATCCAGAGCTGACAACTTTAGAATGGTGGATATCGGGATTAATGCTTGATCCTCTCTTTTAGATAATCTCAAGATTAACATAATCTTGCAAGATTATCTTATAAGTGTATGAAAAACTGTAATCATCTGAGAAACTGTAGCAGCCAATCAGAGAAAAGCGGGCAACCAATGAGAGAACAGAAATATTCTCATTGGAGAATAACTATTAATTACTACTTAACCGGGAGATTAAGGGAGGATAATTAAATTGAGGGGAAAACCACTTAGCCGAGGGCCTCCAAGACCTTTTTGGGGTTCTAAACCTCAAGTGNTAAACTAGGTGTAGTTTACTATTTTATTCAAAATTGATTGAGAGAGCGATAAATGTAAAAATAAAATTAAATTAGAGAACTATTTATTTGATAAATCTGTATGGATCACAGGGAGGATAATTACTTATCCTCCCTGTAAAGAGGGAGGATAAGTAATTATCCTCCCTGTAAATAGGGAGGATAAGTAATTATCCTCCCTGGAATTAAAAAAGGAGGGAATTTAAGGTTGGTTATTTCGTTGAACAGGAGATTAAACAATTAACGGATATCCAAGGAGAGAGAAAAAGATTGGATTAGGACAAAAATGAAAAGTTTCACAGTGGATATTCGGATCAAGAAGTCAGGATTAAAGTTTATCCATTCTAAAGTTCCCAGCTCAGAAGTCGTGGAGTTGTATATATCAAAAGGTTAACATCATGCATGTTGTAAAGCTATGAGAATAAAAATTAGAATTTGAGGCAAATGGTCAATTTTTTTAATATTAATACTATCACAGTCCGAATACATATTAAGTTTAAACATTTAGAAAAGAGTTGGTTGGATGACGTTCAGGTCCCTCGTTCTGATTTGAATTTGATTACATAGATATATATTGATAAATATACAAATAACAAACATTGGAAATATCATATTTATATCCGTGTAATTTGGAAATCCCGAAGTGAATAAATTCAATCAATTCAACTGATAAATTATTAACAATTTTCTGGAATGATTAAAATCAAAGTGATGTTAAAAAAATAACAATAATAATAATAATAATTATAATAATAAATTAACCAGTT